CCAATGCCAAATCCGGCGAAACAACTGGCCGCTGTGATACAATTGTATAATAATAATAATAATAATAATAATAATAATAATAATAATAATAATGCTATACTATTATTAAATTCTACTTTCTCAAAACGTTTTCCCTTCTGATTCTAGCAGATCTCCCTGAAGCAGAGTTCCCATCAAGTGCTATTATCTGGATTGTCTGCTTTCTCTTTACCCAAGGATCAACTCCACGACAAGCTAATTCTGTTTTTCAGCAAACGGAAGAACCAAGGGGGTGAAGTGGATCATCTGGAACAGCTTCCAAACTCGGATAATGTAGTGTTGACTTTTGTAGATGATGGAGGTAGGAGAAAATATGATAAAAGGGAGCGTGTGCCTCATGTGTCTTGGGGGGAGTAGCATTCCTTCCACAGATTGAGAGAGTCATGGTTATATCATCTCCTGGACTTATCAGTGGTTCCTCATTTGTCCTAAGATATTTTCATTGAAGCACACAAGAGCAGTTTGAGAATTGTAAGAGCATGGAACTAGAAATTTCCTAGCTTCAGAGTCTTGAGCCATCAATTGATCCCCTCTGTATATTTATCAAAACCCTTTTTTAACCAACCACTGGTACTATAGCCCCTGCATTATCCAATAGCAATTACACATCATCCTTGTTTGGTGATCACTGGCAGCTTGATCATTAAGTGAAGCCACCACTGTGCTTATTATCTTACTTCAGCTTTCCTTTTCTTTACAGACCCTCATGAATTTTAAATGTAGGAACTGATGATAAAATTACTTTTTCATCCCCAAAGTAATTTTGAATAGTCATTAAACAACGCAGTTGCTAAACGAGGAATACTTGTAGTTCTGCAGTGTTGTACTGTTTAGTATGAGAATGACTTCCATTTTATCACTATAAATCTGATTCCTTGTATTTTATTAACTTTTCCCTCGCTCACTACACTTCATCAATACCTTATTCAATGCTTCTTAACTTTAACAACTTTAAAAGTCTATTTGGTTATTTTTTTCTTTGTAAGACAGGTGAACTGTTGTATTTCTAATTTTATCTAATTGTTTTAGAACATTATAACGTTTAGTATTTCCCCCCAAATAAGATACGGTCTTATTTTCTTTTGACCCTCCAAAATAAGCACTTGGCCTTATTTTCAGGGAGGTCTTATTATTTTTGAGATGCAGGAGGTGGTGAGCATGGTCACCTCATGGCTGCTGCTTGTTGCAACAGTTTCAGGAGGTCTTATTTTCAGGAGAAGGCTTATTTTAGCACATGCGGTCAAAAGCCCAATTGGGCTTATTATCTGGGGAGATCTTATTTTCAACGAAACAGGATAATGTTTAGTTTAGTAATTTAGTAACATTTTAATTTTAGCTTTTGTTTGAACATCCCATAAGCGTTTGATTTAAACCATGTTTTGACATTTTTCTTTTTGCTTTATTTCTCCATGCAAGTGTATTTATTTTCCTTGTAAATAGAAGGAGGTGGGCACAAAACTGAAATAAACCCAGCAACATTGTGCTCTATTATCTGTAGAATGTGCTTTGTCTTGCACCAGTACATATATGTGGGGGACAGGTCTCAATTACAGATTACAAGCCCAGGCTTTTTTCCTCCCTTGCAGTGGCTCAACGGATCGTTGAAAAAGGGCCGTTCCTGGTATTGCTTGGAAAGGAGACCCATCAGGTCAAGGCATCACATTGCTTACATGGGGAAATTGCAGATTTACAGGTAAGGGAAAACATGGACAGAGAGACACTGCATTCTCCTCTCCTTAAGCAAACTATGTTTCCCATCCCAAGACTACAGCGATGGGAGTGGCTGTTTCCTAAAAGTAATGGGTGGGGCAGATGGAGATTTTGTTTCATTTACCATAGTTTTTGGAGTATAAGACGCACCCAGGTTTTGAACAGGCAAATTTAAAAAAAAATCTTTTTTGCACTCTGCAAACCTCCCAAAAACGGCCCATTTTTCAGGAAAACGGGTCTGTTTCCCCCCCAAAAAAGGCATGAATAGCCTTTAGGAGGCTTGCAGAGTGCTCCTGGGGGGTGCCCCCTCCCAAATGAGCAAAAAATGGGCCATTTTTATAATGAAAACAGTCCCATTTTTTGCCCCCAAAAATGAATGCAAAGCCTATAGGAGACTTATAGAATATTCCTGGGGGCTGGGAGGGCAAAATTGAGCAAAAAAACCAGCCTGTTTTTCACTCATTTCTGCCTTCCCTATCCCCCAGGAGCTCTCTGAAAACCTTCTATAGACTCTGTTTTGGTGAAGGGGATGGGGTTTCGGGAGGCAAAAAATGCTGTATTCAGTGTATAAGACACACACAGATTTTCAGACTCTTTTTTGAGGGAAAAGGGTGCGTCTTATGCTCCGAAAAATATGGTAAATTTAACTTTAATTCAAAATATATACTGTTCACACAATTATTTGCCAGTCCCATATTTAATCATTTTTTCTCTCTCTTGTAAAAATTAAAACTTGGCATTAAATGTTTGGAGATTTCTGGAGCCACATCACAAAATTTTGGGGCATGACGCTTGAGTGACTCTGGAATCAAAAGAGTCAAAAGCTACAAGAAAGCAGGTGGAACTTCACAACTGAAACTGCTCTTTTATATGTGCAGTTCTTGACCCAGAGACAGACATTATTCTTAGGGAGGCTCTGCCCTAAACAATAGCCATCTCTGGCCCTAATTTGAAAGAGATCTTCCTTCTCAGTGCAAAAATTCCAATACATTATAGCACCAATGATTCCATAGAAAAATGGTATATAAAGGAGGAGGAAAAGGTTCCCTTTAGCTCAGATTAAAACTCTTTTCAAAAGTTGAGGAAAAGTGATTCCATAAAACCCAGGCATTTAATTGTGTAGTGCAAATATGATGGGTATCTTTGTATCTTGGTGCCAGTTGAAGAATTTAAAAGACATTCTGTGGTCCATTAAAATCACTCTAGATTGGGCCTGTCATGCATATGAACTGGATATTCAACCCCCACATATCAAAAACCCCAATTTAAAGGATCCAATCTAGATCTTTTGAATCTTGTTTTTGTTTTAACAACTTGTTCTTGGCTTTAGATTTATCTTCAACTGTGGCATTTGTTCACTGGTCTCCAATTTTTTTCCTCCATCTCAGTTGCATCCTTCCATCTGTCCTCGTACCGTCCTGCTGACAGAGATTCCAGATGTCATAGAGAGGGAGATGATGTGTGAAGCTCTGGAGATCCATTTCCAGAAGGAAAGCAAGGGTGGAGGAGAGGTGGAAGCTGCTGTGTATGTTCCAGCTGGACATTATGCAGTAGCTGTTTTTGAGGAGGAGGACTGATTCTGAATGCCAAAGCTAGAAGAGATGACATTTCATTTGTGATACAACCAAAAAAAAGTACATGGAGCATACTAATATTCCAGGAAAGAGGGGATGAAACTTTTTGATTGCTTGAATTGAAGGTTAGAGGAATGAGGTAAAAACTGAGGAACTGGATGATTAGGAGGAAAATAAGTCTATTTGTAGTTTAGATAATGGAAAGATCCTCTGCCACAATTATATCTATTTTTCAAGTCCGAACTATCCACAATGTGGTATGTGTTGTTGTTTGTTTCTTTTAGTAATTTCATTGCATGGCATTGAAGTGCCTGCTGAATTTCTAAATTTTTCTGCAGATCATGTTCAGTAAGAAAAATAAATAACTATGAAATAAGGAGGCATATGTATAAAACAATAGGCCTTAGAATGAAAAATTCAAAATTAGGAAAAAATATATACCGATAACAGAAAGCTGTAAAAGTGTAACTGTGATTTTAATGTTTAAAAAATGTTGAATAGAAATTATTTGATAAAAAATGTTCAGAAAATAAAAAGATATGCTGTTCACAAAGAATTTGTGTAATTTTTATGTAAAGGGAGCAAGGTTCTAAGTAAAACAATCCAGTGATTCATTGGAACATATATAGCTGTAGTTCATATATATGAAACCAGTACAAGGAACTAAAGTATCAACTAAATTCCATGACCAAAGAGGAATATAAAATTGCCTCTTTGTAATTCAACACTATAAATGAAAGGTATGTTTCATACATATACAAGGATAACTTGAGAAAGAGAACATTTAACCTCCTTAGAACAAAGACAATATAAACTATAATCTGTGACACACAAATTGTGCAATCAATATAAATATATTTACTGCTGACATGTTTGACTGCTGTCATAGCTCAGCCCAGTTATCTCCTACACTTGCGGTCTGCTGGGTGGATGCATCACATGCTGTCCACACACACACACCCCAGTTTAGCAAAGGGGAAAAATGTGATGCTATGAGTTTGACACCCCTATCCTACACGCTAATTTAGTAAAGCCCCGATTTGGGTACCCACAGGCCTTAAGAACCATCTCTGGAGATGGGGTTGGTTTTTTTGCCCTGTGATGTTGTAACCTCCAAAAGAAAGAAAATATTGTCCTTATGCACTTTATTTTTCAGCAAGCTGTGTATCTGCTTAAATTGATCTTTCTGGTTTTTCCTTGCACAAAAAGCGGGTTCTCAAGCTGGATTTCCACTTTCATTTCTTGATTATAGTTGTTTCTGTTCATCTTGGTATCCACATATGTAAGTCTATCGCACTACAGAGATATCCTTATCTTAAAATTATTTGCCTCTCGTCTTTTTTTGTTTGTTTGTTTGTTTAATGCTGTATGTGTATTGTACCTCACTTCTGGAGTCTGGCATTATCCCCATCATCAGTGGATTTCATCCACGGATTTAATTTTGTTCTCAGCTCGCTGTTCCTGCACCTCGATTAAGAGGATGATTTGGGTGAAGCCCAGTGTTTCATTCTGGCAAACGAGTTTTCCTGCTGCCTTGATGAATGCTTTTCCTGCCATCTCCATTGGCCCACAAAAAACTTAATGCAGAGCAAGTGACATTGGAAACCAGTAAGGCAATGTTTCTCATCCTTCTCGACCTTGACAATTTGGCAGCTAGCCAGGAAATTCTGGGAATTAAAGTCCAACATCTGAAAAGTTATTAAGATTGAGAAGCTTTGAAATAAGGCATGTTTCTCTAACTCTGCTCTGCTAATAATCTTGGTCTACAACTCCCAGATGCCAAATTCAAGGAATTACAGCCCCAACACTTTTAAGCAGGATCAGGAAAGGAAAAGTGATATTTGAAAGTTTTCCTCACTGCAAAATATATTTAGAAAGGACAAGATTTGTGAAGGTACAGCAATTTCCTAACTGTTGAAATACACTGTTTGGGTTGTATATCTACAACCAGTGGTGTGATTCAGCCAGTTTACACCACTTCGGGAGAACTGGTTGTTAATTCCTGAGCAGTTTGGTGAACTGATTGTTGGAAGAAATCATTAGGGCAGAGAACCAATTGTTAGATTATTTGAATCTCACCTCTGCCTACATCCAAATTCCAACCTTACAGAATAAGTACAGAATAACAGAGTTGAAAGGTACCTTGGAAGTCCTCTAATCCACCCCCCTGCTCAAGTAGGACAACCTATACTATTCCATACAAATGACTGTCCAATCTCTTCTTGAAAACCTGCAGTGATGGGGTACTCATAATCTCTGGAGGCAACCATTCCACTGAGATCCATATTTAGATAATCCATGTGAAATGCTTTGAACAATTGTGAAAAGCTATATAAATATTTTGTTCAAAATTAACAAAAAAATGGTTAATGTTGTTTTTCACACAGTATAAAGCCCTCAGAGCCACTTAATAATGTACGGAATTTAAAATGTATAATTGCACAATCAGACCGAGCTATGGATTTAAAAGGAAGTAAATAGGAATATCACAAAGATTAAAGAGTTTCTATAAAGTTATTGTAAGAGACTGGATTGATTATTTTTGCCTTTGTCATTTTCCTGTTGCATTCCATCTCACAGGGAGAGAATTCCATTTATCATTCTCCCAAGCTGTATTTTTTGAGTGAAGCATCTTTACCTAGACCAGAGTATTGTTCTGTGCAAGTCTTCTTGTGATCACTTTACAAGAACACAATGCTGCACTTCCTTCTGAGTATGCATCCATTTCATTTCATTCATTTCATTCATTTTATTATATTTATATGCCGCCCTTTTCCCCCGAAGGGGACTCAGGGCGGCTAACAAATCAAATCAGGGAAGGGGGGGGGGTACAGACAAAAAAAAAACACGAAACATAATAATACATAATTTAAAAACACACAACAGTCATACGATTCGAAACGGGGGCAACAGCTCTTTAGCCCCAGGCCTGTCGGAACAGCCATGTTTTAATGGCTTTGCAGAAGGCCTGGAGGGTGGTGAGGGTCCAAATCTCCATGGGGAGTTCGTTCCAGAGGGCCGCACCTCATTCATAAAATGTGGAGAAACTAAAAGTGCGCAGATCTTAAGTGAAACAAACAAAGATGGAGAAGGGGGGGAGAGGTACTCAGCTCCTCTCCCTTCTTATGGCAATTAAATTGACCAAGATGGTTGAAAACCCAGCCACAATCCACAGATGGTATACAGAGGGGGAGGATAACGTTTCCCCCTCTAGTAAAGCTGAGAAAGGTCCCAAGAGTCTGAGAAAGTAAGGTGGAACTGAGAGTCCTCTTAGGCACAGATGTTTAAAGGCCCAGCTGGAAAAGGGCCAAATGACCAACGGGGGAGATAAACTGAGGCTCCACACTGTCAATAAAAGGCAGTAGAAAAAGCTCTCCAAGTCCACCAAGGGAAAAAGTCCACCCAAGCAGGGCTCTGAAGAAGACGATG